CCTTAAATTAAAGGTCTGTATACTAGTAAATTAATACTTTGGGATACTATAAAGAACAAAACCAGTAAACAAAGGTACATTTGGTGTAAAATCAAATTAAATGAATTACCTTTCCAACATCACGGCTCTTGGCTCTCAGTTTGTTGACCTGAGATTCAGCAATGTCAGCACGTTCCTGAGCTTCCTCCATCTCATGCTGGACCTTTCTCAGTCTGGACATGTGGGTGTTGGCCTGTTCCTCCTATTCAGTGTTATAGTATGTTGCATTGTTTAAAAAATATCTGATCATACAGCAGGTAAAATAAGTTTTGAAATTGTCACCCATTTTCAAAGTAAATATATTTCTAAAAGTGCTATTGACATGAAATTCTCATGAGATGTTGGTACCTTTTGCATCTCTCTTTCTTTATGTGTTTGATAATTTCTGCCTGTGTCATTTCTCATGAAGTTGTGCTTCCCATATGTAAAATCAAAAACCATTTTACTCACAGCGTCCTCAGCCTGTCTCTTGTAAGCCTTGACTTTGAGCTGCAGTTTGTCCACCAGATCCTGAAGTCTCACCATATTCTTCTTGTCCTCCTCAGTCTGTATAGATAACAAACTGTTACTGCTGGCTAGAGAAGAAAGAGTTTAGGGACTTGAATAAGGTGAATATTTATATAAATGTGTAATCACCTGGTAGGTGAGCTCCTTCACTCTCCTCTCATATTTGCGGACTCCTTTAACAGCATCAGCTCCACGTCTCTGCTCAGCTTCAACTTCAGCTTCCAATTCACGGACCTTTAATGCCATGATAAATAAATGTTAGAGTACAGAGAAAAATGAGTTCTTATCAGAGAATCAAAGTGTTACACTTAATAATAGCTGGACTTTATATAGAGTACATACCCTGGACTCCAGTTTCTGGAGCTGCTTCTTGCCACCCTTCATGGCGAGGTTCTCTGCCTCATCCAGACGGTGCTGCAGGTCCTTGACTGTGACCTCCAGGTTCTTCTTCATCCTCTCCAGGTGAGCACTGGTGTCCTGCTCCTTCTTCAGCTCCTCAGCCATCATGGCAGCCTGAAAGTATGGGTGGTGTTGGCATTATTGATCAAGCATGAACAAGAATTTTGAAAAGAAAAGAAGGCTTGTAAAGTACTAACTTACATCAGTGATAGCCTTTTTGGCCTTCTCCTCAGCATTTCTTGCTTCCTGAACTGCATCATCCACCTCACCCTGAACCTGGACAAAGTCAGCCTCCAGCTTCTTCTTGGTGTTCAAAAGACTGGTGTTCTGAATGAAA